TTTTTTTTTTTTTTTTTATTGGACCGGCATGCCTTCTATATAGGCATGCATTTTTTTCTTGTTACCCGTTGTAGATGAACTGGAATGTAATGTGCTATTTCACGTACATTTTTGCTCTTATCATTTTTTACATTCTGTTATTTCCTCCAGTGTTTTGGTTTTTTCAGGCAAACTTGTGAAGCTAACTAAGCGTTACTCCTGCCAGTTTCCGAAATGTCAAATGCGTTTCTTGACACGGCAACTGTGTCGAGAACATGTTTTAACTCATTTTAAACATTCTATTCCTGGTGATGATGATCAATCAACCAATCATCCTCAAACGTCTGGATTCGATGAAGGTATGGATTCTTATGTTCGTGAAGAAGAAGAACACTTGGTGAAAGACCTGCACGAACAGCTTGTTGAAGCGGAGACTCAGAAGGAACATGAGCAGCATAGTCATACGGTACTTGTATTTTCTTTCACTTCCTGATATTTTTTATTTTTGTATGAGGGATTTGTAGCATGTTTTGGTGCTTATAAGCATGAGTACATAACATTTGAATGTTAGTTGTGGCTTCTTTGTTTTTCTGCAAAAATTCCTTGGTAATCGGTCAAACAGAGTATAATCGCTTGTTGAGTAAGTTGGCCTGTAAGTTTATTATTTCACTTCTGCTACAGAATAATGTTATTTTACATTCTTAATCTTCATTGGTCAAATTGCGTCAGGTCGTTAACCACTGCTCCAGGCAAATGAATAGATCATTATGTTTTTTAGAGTGGTTCGATGAGTCCCACTTCGGAAAATATGCCTGAGGGCTTTGCTCGATCGTTGGAAAATGAAAGTGAGAAACCATATTTAATGCAGAGCTTTATTATGCGAAAATATTCGACCGACGGTCAACCAGAGCTGCTCCAAGAAGTGCTACTTCACCTTCCAGTTCGAGCGCAGGTTGATCAAAGGCTGAAAACAACAATTGAATTAATTCCCACCTCTGGAGCTGATGCGTCATTAAAGCGTATCTAAATTATGTCGTGTTGGTTTTTTTTAAACTGCTTATCAGGGTGCTATATGTGCATGAAATAGGCTTTTTTCTTGTTTCTGTTGTTAACAGAAGTTTTTTAAAAAGCAAAACAGGGAAAGAACTGTATATTAGGTGAAGAGGAAAAGAGAAAGGAATATTTTACCTTTTGTTGTGGTTAATTAAGAGGTAAGCTGAAGTGGAAAATAAGTGATTGCTGTAAATTGTTAGTAACGGGCATCTGCAATTTTTAAGATAATTCAATTTTTATGGCACAAGCGTTTTTCTCTTTCTTCTACCTTATGCCAAATCTCTTTTGGTCTCAGAAAACATTTGTTTGATTATAGGATGTTGTATCATTATTTGTTTGTGTGAATCGTTTGGCAAATTGTCTCATAAGTTTCTTATTTTTTTTCATTTTGATATTCTTTGTGCAATTTGATATTGTCCAAGTTGGTTTTTTTCTAGTATAAATTCAGTGTCTATTATATTCCTTCTCCATGATGTTTTCAAATTCTCTTATGCCATTCTTCTTTTCCTTTCTTTCATTTATTTTTATTATTATTATTTTTTTTGTTTTTTTATTTATTTTTTTTTCTTTTTTTTTTTTTTATTGTAAATACGAAAAGACGTAAACATTTGCATCATACGGGACAATGGTTGATGTAAAAACAGGCACACATATCATATCTGCTTTGTAGATTATGATGTTGATTGTTTTTCATTTTGCTCTTGTTTTCTGAAATTCTGTATTTGTTTTTGGAGTTTGAACTGTAGTCTGCTTCTCATATTTACAATTAGTTAACAGCAGGTTGGTTATATTTCATGCAGCTTAGTTAGTGTAGGTATATAGCTATCGTTTAGGTGGTTCTTGTTTTGCAATTTTTCTACAACAGTTTGTTACAGTTTTAATAGTTTTCTTCTCGTTTCGGGTTCTTTATTTTTTTCTTTTTTTTTTCTTCTTGTCAACTATTATGCTGCTTAGTATGCGTAGCCGTCATTATTTAGTAGTTTTTTGTTTTCGCGGAGGGGACAGGAGGACACCCAAAAATGGAAAAAATTTCGATTTTGGAGTATAGGTACAAGCAAATATGTATGCGATTAAAAGGAAGAAGGAAGTTTCTTCACTATTCTTCTCTCGCTCCTTCTGCTTTTCTTGGGTTTTTGCCGAAGTTATCGCCATGCATTTCTTCGGAATTATGCCTCTTAAAAATTGAACGACAGTGCTTATGGCTATATTATCAAGCTCGCTATTGACGTTCCATTTCATTATTTTTTCACTCCTAATTTTTATGGTACTGTTTGGTCATATAATTCTTTTTATATCATTCTGTATTATTAATATAGATGTTGAAGCAATCTCTTACCAATCTCTCATTGTTTTTACCTCAGAAAAAAAGGAAAGAGAAGGGGAAATGAAAGAAAGAAAAAAGAAGTTGGCGAAGTAGAGGGTTTGTTTGCTACGAATTCATGCGAATGCGTGGAACTATGAGAATGTATGGACGTTTATGTGTGTGTATACGTATATCAAGGCGTGTCATAAGCTACAAAGGTGTTGGAGCTACCAAAATAGTTTCCCTTCATTTGTTGTCTGCCTTACTTTTTATTCCCTATCTTTCTTTATATTTTTGTTTTCAGCTTTTGGGGTTTATGTATAATTTTATTTCATTCCTTTTTCAATTACCCAGTTCTTTTTGCAACACTTCTCAGTTAGCCTATGGACATTTTTTTTTTTTGTTATATTCTGCTTTAAAAAATCCACTTGTATTTCTTCAGCTTTTTCTCTTTTTCATTTTAGTGTTGTAATGTTCTTTAAAGTATCTTTAATGCTCTAATCAGCTTGTATTATTTTTTCTTTTTTCCCTTCAACATCATTTTTTTGATTTTTATTTCTTTTTCTTTTGACAAGAAGCATTCTAATGAAAACTTTTAAGCTTGACATTTTCTAAACAGTATGCAGTCGGTGGAAGACAGGGTTAAGAACACAAATATATGATAATAAAGCGGTATATTCGAATATGTGTTGGACAGAAAAAAATGCTTGTTTGCCAGGGAACTGGTGGGACGGACCGCTGTTGAAGTTGCAGGTTGTGGGTTGCAAACTGATCTTCATCTTAGTCAGGAAGAGCAAAAAATTTGAGGTTGCTTTGAGCTGAATGAAACATTTAATTTGGGATTTGCTATACCAGGTACCTGTTGGAACTCTGACTGTGAAGTTTAGTAATGCTTTGTTTTTCTTGTGACTTAAAATGGATGAGGAATTGCATGTACAGTTGCAGTGGATCAGCAGCGATTCTCGTGGGTCACTGGCGAAGCGTTGTAGCCAGTGATTTTTGTCTGACAGAGCAGTCTTTGTTCCTCGTCTGTTTTTTTAGTTGGTTGTACATTTTTTAGTTTGTCGTTTTTTTTTTTTTTTTTACCACAGGTAAGGTTAAATACTGCGTAGGAAAGAATGGAGGAGGAGAGTTTGACAAGAATTAACAGCAACTGTTAAAGTAACGCAAGAGACGTGTAAATAACTTGATTTGCTAACCAGTCATCACCAGTGTTATTGGCGGCATTGGGTACCAATTTCTCTATGCGTTTTTTAAGCCACTGAACCACCTTTAGCAGTGCAGCAAAATGTTTGTACTGCAGTAAGAGAAGAAAGAATAACAGAAAAACTTGTTTCTTCTTTAATCCAGTATTAGAGTAATGGGTATTTGATGGTAATGGTGCTAATAATATGGGTGGTAAAGATGCCATCAGTATTGATAATAATGGTAATAAATGATAAAAAAAGTGATGGTAATAACAATATTAGTGACATTATTGTAAGCATTAGCTCTGGAGAAGAAAGACGGAATATCAAATGAGTGCCAAAATAAACTGTCTCAGTAAGCAGTGTCATTCGCATAAGCAAATACGCGAATATTAATGACGACGATCAGAGAATTGAAAAAAAGTCGATTGTAACTGTTTGCATAGTAAATAAATATCGTTCTTCAAATACGCGTTATTCAGTGTTGTTGCAGGAAAGCCAATTTTTTTTAATATTTGTTTTGTGTCTGCTAATATTGTTTATTTAGTTTGGTTTTTTTTTAAATTTCTCATCTAAAAAATAAAACAACTCTGGAAAAAGAGGAAAGACTACAAAAGAAGCAGAAAAACAAAGAAAAGAAAGGGGCAAGCATATTATTGGTATTATGGAGAATGGTGGTTTTGGTAGGGACGCGAGACATTTAAAGGGACATAACAGAGACAGAAAGAGTGCTGTAAATGTGACCACATCAAAAACATTTGATCTAATCTGAAAAAAATTTCTGATTGAATAAATCTGGTCTTGATAAAGTGGAAGTGAAGAAAGACAGAGGACGACAGCAACAAATGTGCGCGTTTTTGTTTCTAAATATCTGGTTAGATTTTACATATATTTGGAGGAGTTCTGCTATAGAATAATGTGATCAAATAATACAATTGAATATCGAAAATATGACAAAAGTGTTGCAGACGTTTTTGAACATGTTTTTTCTGTATGGTACACTTAGGGCTAAATATTAGTGACAATTTACAGCTGCTTCAAAATCATGTTTTTCTTCTCACTTTTTCTTTTTTAGTCAGCAGAACTTGGAAAATACAAGCGTGATTTTTTAACAGATCCTAATTGCATCTACTTTTTGTCACAAGTAATTTAATCATTGGTCAAGTAGATTGTCACACTGATCAGTAACAATTTACAGCTAATTCAAAATCACGTTTTTTTTTCCCAGTTTTTCTTTTTATTCAATAGAATGTAGATTATAAACGCGTGATTTTTTAACATCCTAATTGCATCCACATTTTATTGTAAATAATTTAATCATTGATCAAGTAGATTGTCACACTGGTCTACGTTACCTTTTCCGGTTTCCTGTAAAAGTAAAATTTGTTTTTATGTGCAAAAGTAATGTAAGTATGCCAAACTCTAAACAACGGTATAATCAAAGTGCTACAATCCCCTTCGCAAGTTAGAGTAAGAATTACAGGCATAAGAATTAATCGAAAGCAGGATTTAACCGTGACAGTACATTTTTTACATTATTATGCTCACGAAAAACCGTTCTAAACAATTTTTCATATGATTCTTTGAAATCGTTGACAAACGGTTTTGTAAGACCACGTCGACTCTGAAACTAATATATTTCCTGATAACTTATAGCACACTTAATCAGAGTCTTGAACTATCAGGCAACAATTAATTTTACTGCACTAGCACGGCAAAGGTTGGACTTCATTACACGCATATTTAACAGTTCAATTTGTGGTATAGAAATAACAGGAGAAGCAGTTGCGACATTTTTTTAGGAAAGCTGAAATCTAAAAATGTGGGATGAACGGATTGACAGCCGATTTCGTGAGAATTGTTTACAAATAACTAGTAATTAAAGGAGAAAAAAATTATTGTATGTCTCCATTCATTAATCAAATAACCAACAATAGCGTCTGACCTGACAAGATGAGTTCAGTCTTGTTTTAGACTATTGATAGCTGATTTTGGTATATATAAATTGCTGGCTACCTAGAATTAATCGGCAAACTACCATGAGTTCAATAATTAGGTGTTCACTTCTAGCTCTTCTGATTTGCGCTGTACAGGTGAAACATTTTATCTTCTTTGTAATCTAGTCCGCTTGCCTTAGTCACCAAAGTTGTTCTGCACTTCACTACTTCATTCCTTCGAAAAAATCTTAAAGAAGTTGACAAGCAGACGCTTTTTGCTCTAGAAACCTTGGCCGTCCAATTCGGTTTAGGATCGATTCGCTGTCGGCTTTAATATCCTACAGCAGTGGAATTGATCTGTTTTTTGTATCAGTTTGAAAAATAAAAGTAACAGTTAAAATTTTGTACTGTACTGAAAAATTCAGGCTGTACCACTGTCAGAAGAACTTCATGAATCAACTACAATCAACGCGAACACTTCTGGCTCTTTTTGGGACATGAAAGTTGGTGAAACTTTCGCAAATTCAACGGAATTGATATGGAGCAACGCTTCATTGGTTGATTTTAACGGTAACGAAACAAATGGAGTTCGTGTAAAAAGAAGCGGTGGTTGTGGTTGCTGCTGCTGCTGTCCGTGCTGCTGTTGCTGTCCATGCTGTTGCTGCAAACCATGCTGTTGCTGTTGCTGTAAACCATGTTGCTGTTGCTGCTGTAAGCCATGTTGCTGCTGTTGTTGCAAACCATGTTGTTGCTGCTGTTGCAAACCATGTTGTTGCTGCTGCTGCAAACCATGTTGTTGCTGTTGCTGTAAACCATGCTGTTGCTGCTGTCCGTGTTGCTGTTGCGGGAATAATCGCAGGAAGAGATCTGCAAACTTCACTCATTATGAAACATCCTATAATGGTACATTGGTTAAAAGGGATACATTTGGTTTACGAAACGGGTAGGTTTAAAGTTTCATTTGTTTTGTTTTGTATGAAATGTATAAAGAATTCTGTAATTTTAGTTAACTTCTAATTAATTGGGTAAGCATTGAGAAAGTTAGTGTAAACAACTTTAGGATTTTTTACTATGTGATCATTAAGTGGCTGTTTTCCAGCATCTGTTCATGCAACGACCCCAACTGCCAGATGTGCAACTTAGCTATGTGCACCTCAGGAATGTGTCCTCCGGGTGCCTGTAGACTGGGCATGTGCGATCCAAGAAGCTGCATGGGCGGAAAAATGTGCTTTGAGGCAGACAACTGCAAATTTGGTGTAATAGGTGCTCCATGTGACATGAATGCTTGTCGGATGTCAGCAAACAGATTACTGGGTGGATGCCCTCCTCGTTCTAGCATTTCTCCGGATATAATGGCTGGCACTAAATGTTCTTTATGTCCTCCTAGTTCTCCAAACACACGTAACGGTGTTAGTTCATCTTGTCGATGTGACCCTTCAAACATTTCGGCCGCTTGTAAATGCTCTCCGTCTTCGGTTAATTTTCGGCAGCAACGTCGCAGTGTACCTGTGAGATGTCACTAACTGGCCTTGAAGTTCCTAAAAGAATGAGCAGGTGTTCTTCAAGTAAAAACTGACAGAAAGAGAAAATGAAGCAGATTAAAAATGTTCGTTTTGAGTTTACGTTAACTTGTAGTTTTGAGAAATGGAAGTTAAAAGACCGAAGTTATAAAAATAATCTGTTATTCATTATTTCGTTTATCAGTTCGTTAAAGTCGATATCAAAAAGTACATAAAAGTCACAGTTCAAATAAATGTCAATTTATTAGTAGAAAATAAATAATTATAGGAAAAAGGGCTTAATCATGAATAAAT